TCCATCCAGCTGAGGAGATAGAGGAAGCAGGAGACTTCGGGAATTTGCGTTAACTTTTCCGGCCGATAGGCGCAACAGGCCTTGAGAGAACTGGTGAACAAAATAATCTCTGATAACAACGACTGGCTTATTGTTATGACTTGCTGGACGGTAGTGCAACTATGTATCGGTCCCTTGGCTTCCTGCTCCACCCAATATGGTATATCAAAAGGCACGGCAGCTCTACACAGCCCTTTATGGAGACAAAGGAAAATTAGTGCAACTGTATTTATAGGGTGGTCACAGAGTGTTCCACAAGGTCGTGCCAGAATCTCCGTGAGGGGGCGAGAAGCGTCGAGTCAAAGGTGTTTGACTCGGATTGGCTGGCATTCTGACCAATCAGGGCATGCCTTTGTTTGGTCCGTGTCCTGCACGTGACACATCCGTCCAAATGATGTGGTGCTCGGTTATTAGGGACGGCTGGCCTCCGTACACCTCCCCCTTGAGAAGGCTGCTTTGAACTCCACTATGACGACTCATGGAGGTTCTTTCGCATGTCGGTCCGTCCCTGGGCTGCCAGCATGCTGGTCTGGAATCCGGTACCCTCCACTTGGGAGGTATGTCACGGCTGTCCGGTGTCCCATGCGACGTGGTCCCCTCACCGAACCGCAGTCTGTTGCTTGAAGTCGGCTCACTTGACGCGGCTGTGCTGATGATCTTGTATCTCGTGTTTGACGCAGTCAACCCTGCGTCCACCATGGAGAGCGTTCCCTACGTCTTCGAAGCAGTGGCTGGTCTCTGTGTGACTGTTGTGGCGTCCCTCCTGCCGGCCCCCCTTCTTTGACTTCCCGGACAACAGTAGAACGATCCGCCTGAACCCGCGACTTTAAACTGAAGAGTTCAGACCACGGGCGACACGTTGCGGGCTGCTGGCAGGGTTCACCAAATCGGACTGAGGTGAGAGGGCTGCCGGTACCTGACGCCCGAGGCTGGATAGTCGCTGTGTCGCGTATGTTCCATCTGGCCTCCGGTTTGGCTGTAACTGCAGCGACCACAAAATCGTCAGGAAGTGATGTTCTCGTGAACGTATCGGAGCCATTGGCAGTTGTTTCGTCACAAACGGCATTGAGGGGTTCATCCAACAGTTGAAGCCCATTAATCCAATCCAGGCCCAAGGAATCAAGGCCTGTATAGTTCGTGAGGTAGCAAGCGCCATTGAGTTGAATCCCCTTGAACGTCACGGAACAATTCAGCTTCCCGGTCAGTTTCAGGCTTCCACCAGATGCATTACGAACGATGCACTTTGTGGGTTCCACTGGTGGCCTTCCAATTTCGTTCCAGGTTCGTTTTGAAATCAGAGTGAGGTCAGAACCTGTATCCAGTTGGAGAGTAACTGGTGTGCCATTGATACATAATGTGACAAATTTACGTCGACCAGGTGATTTCATCCTGAATGTGGCGGTCACAGCCTCTGCCTGCGTCCTTTTGTCGGGTCGGTGTTTGTGTGAGCCCCTGAAGTTGTCTCTGCAGCGTTCTTCTTTGTGACCCTTTCGACTGCACTTACTGCACCTGTGGTTCCAGTAGGGACAGTGGCGTGAATAGTGCCGTTCTTCACAAAAGCAACAGGGTGTGGACGGTTTTCTTCGAGTTCATTTTGCATTTGACTTCCTTTTGGAAGTTACTTTGCATACCATATCAGACTGAGAGAATTTGGAATGTCCAATCATTGCAGCATCAGCCTTGAGGTTGATAAGATGCTGGCACTCGGTGGTAAGTTTCTGAAGCGTCAACCCTGGATCCTGTTCAGTTCGATTCAGTAGCCGGGTTCGAATATCTGCATCGTGTGGTGATTGAAGACCAGCCACAAAGATGACTTTTGAATTGATCCTCGGTCCTGGAGCTCAGCTGAAAGCGCTCGCATTCTCCGTTGACCACCCCGGCATATGTGATGAAATCCTCAGTATCCCTTTTGGTAATATTGAGACACTGATAACGAATGTTGAACAATGAACTTCGCTCACCGAATATTTGGGCCAGAATTTTGACAGCATCTGCGAAACCAAGGTCACGAGGGTGTTTGGGGAGTGTGAAATTTGTGAACCGATCGTGTTCAGCTGTCCCCATTTTCCTCAGCAACAGCCGAACTTTCCATGCATCATCAAATTGAGCAAAGTCGTTTTGAAACATGTATTCATATTTCTTGAACCAACTTTCGAAAGTTCGTCCAGATTCAGCATCGAATTGAATTCAGTAATCGAGCTGGCAGCAGCATCTGCGGAGGAAGACGGAGGCTCAACCGTTTTTGTCGCATTCACCGACATACCGCGCATCAAAGATTCAACAAGCTTCATTTGAGCTTCTTCGAACTGCTTCTGTTGTTGCTGTAAAATTAATTGGAGTTGCTCTGCCGAAATTGACATAGTGGGTTCGGGTTGTCGCCAGTTGTTGTGTCTTGATGTACGGTAGCGGAACTCTGTATCGGTCCCTTGGCTTCCTGCTCCACCCAATATGGTATATCAAAAGGCACGGTAGCTCTACACAGCCCTTTATGGAGACAAAGGAAAATTAGTGCAACTGTATTTATAGGGTGGTCACAGAGTGTTCCACAAGGTCGTGCCAGAATCTCCGTGAGGGGGCGAGAAGCGTCGAGTCAAAGGTGTTTGACTCGGATTGGCTGGCATTCTGACCAATCAGGGCATGCCTTTGTTTGGTCCGTGTCCTGCACGTGACACATGCGTCCAAATGATGTGGTGTTCGGTTAGTAGGGACAGCTGGCCTCCGTACACTTATTTCTTAGAAAAAAGAATGCCTAAATCGTTGAGTTGACTGCTTACAACAACAATTTTGTTCGCTACCAGCTGTTCAGCTTGATTTCTGACCAGGAACGCATCCTGGATAGTGAACTCGGAGACTGCGATGTCTTTGGACATAAGTGAATGCCTATTGTTCCTCAGGCGTCACCGGGCTGTTGGTCCTGACGAACTTTCACCTGCTGTTTAAATATGGAGATGAATTTCTTAGCCGGTGTCCCTGTCTGGGCGAGAGAATCTGCCTCAACCAGCTGGAGTGAGTCGATGGTCAAAAGTGTTTGGTGTCTGACACTGCTTATTTTTCGTCTTAAGAAGACGGGTAACTTGGCAATATCTCGACCCTCGTGCCTCCTTCGGGTAACATGTTAGCTAGACACAGAAAGTGTAACAGCTGAACCACCATCATCGTCATCATCATCAAAGGTAGCACCCGAGAATAGCAGATAGTACTCCAGCCTGGAAGTTACTCTTTTAGTCGCCACACAATTTTGATGTTCTTTATTTTCAAGACTGCGTTTGTTTCTGTCGGCCGGGTCGTTCTTGCAACACCAATTTGCAATAGGGCTTGCCCCAGACATCCGTGAGCACCACGCGCTGTGTATATTCGCACACTTGTGGGCGTCTGAGAGTGCATGGTAAGCTCTTCAAAAACATTCCAGACAGACGGTTTTGTCCGAAAATGACGTCCATTGTCTCGATTTTTATGAGTTCCATTGAATTAATGGGACGAATTCTGTAGGATTTCCGAAACCAGTGATCTCATTTCTCGGAGCGAGAATGTCGTTCACTTTGGAACTGAGTATGCAGGACTAAGGTCGTCCTGTCTTTCGGTATGTGCTTCACATCCAAAAAATGTAAAGTCATGCTCTCATTGGTGTACCACAATAGCTGTGATTTGTCCTGACATTTTGACGCTATGTATTTGTTTCGTTTTGTCGGTTCACCGGATGCCACTTGGAGGTTTTTCATCATGCCTTTGTTGCCTTTTCTCATTGTGCCCCTGGTGATCTGCTATAGCTGTTCCAAGTGTTGTTTCCAGACGTTGGGAATTTGGCCGCAGCTGGTATCCAAACCAGTAGGCAGTTACGGTTGTTTCTTCTGATTCCATCCGTTGCATGTTTTATCAAACGAATACACGTAATTGCTTGATTTTAACACTTCTTCATGGACGAACAAGTACGCTGATGAATAAAGCACAGTGAAACACTGTTTGATGTTCCCTTCCTGTTTAGCCGACCACCAGTCAGTATGAGTTACTTTTAATCGGTTTCACACCAGCGTTTTTAGTTAGGACCATTTTTGAAGCAAAACCCGTGTGACCGCCATGCCTTAATTCGGCAGTTGTTCGTAGCTCACTTCCATCGGATTTTGTACGTTGGCCATGGCATCTCATGGTCTGCTTAGTTTCTGTTTTCTAGCTAGATTGGATTACGGTGCTACTGTATATAAACATAAATTGCTATGTTTGCACGGTAGCAAAGCACCATTTTCACTGTTGATGATGGAAACTTTTATCACCTGTTTATTTGTTTGTTTGTGCGCGTAAAGGTCAAAACAAATGTGAAAAGTATTTCCATACCTTGTCGAGGCTACTCAATTCGCGCCTACCTTACTCTGATTTATGTTTATTAGTATTTGGACGTGATTTCTTGGAACTGGGCTTGCCATTCTCCGTAATTTAACAAGCTGATTTATTAAAAAAGCACAATCTTGAACCACGGGCTGAGCTATTCACACTGTCTTTGGGGGTTTGGTGTCCTTATTTGTGTGGACCTCATGTGTCCTCTGTTTTCAAGCACCGTCTTTTCTGATGTGCGACTCATACGAAATTTCCCAGAGTAGTGGCTTTAAACAACTGATAATCTACAAACCGAGCAAACTGTGTGGTAGTTCCACCTCACGATCATCTGATGTAAATCAATGGATCAAATAATTTATCCGGGTGGAATGTGTTGTCATCTACCGTTTCTGTAGCATCCATTTGGGATTGACTTTCTCATGGCAAATGTTCTTTGAATGGAACAAGTGTAACGCGTAGCATCTACTGCTACTTGCTTGTGGCGCTTTTGAAACTACCCGCATCGCGCATATGTGCAGGAGTTCTTATATTCGTTTTCTGCTTTAGGTTGTCATTGATACAGTTTCCACTGGTGTCGCCTAGTCTCGTCGGTGTAGATTTTTATGATTGACAAGCATTTTTGTTCTTTACAGCCGCGGGAGACGCGATGAATCTACTTGACGATGATTCAGATGATGATTTGATATCCGGTCTACAGCACTGCGCCGGCCCGACGTGCATGTCAAGTCCTATTCCTGGCGAGCGATATTGCTCGGACACCTGCAGAATGAAGCATGCCAAGTAAGTTGTTTTGTAATCTCACCTTATTTATCTCTCGATATGCGGCAGATGACATCAGGTACTAAAGAGTTAGGGTCGTTCCAGTGCATTGCAAATATTTGGGCCCTGCATAGAGAAATTCACGTGTAATCACACCTGTATCGCAACCAATATCGTCGTGTTGGTTTCAATGTTATGAGCTGTCTGTTGTACCGCGTGCCGCAAGTCCCACAGTCAGTCGGTAGCAAAACTTATCATTCACAACAATCCGTTCACACTAAGGTTGTGCGGACGAAACGGGCTGAAGACTGACAGCAACCTTCTTTGGTGCTCATTTTTCCGGTGACAGCACAGTAAATGAAAACCATTTAGTGCAATCTAGTGTTGTTTCGAGCCTTCGTTTCTTCTCTTAAATAAAATAGGTCACACGGTTCTGGGCGCGATGATACCCGTGAAAGGAAGAAGGCCTTCGCTGTTCTGGGCGCATACCCGTGAAAGGAAGAAGGCCTTCGCTGCGGAGTTATTTATTCGGAAATGCCAACTGACCGGTTACAGACCATTGAACGAACAAGCAAAACTCTAATCTGCATCTTAGCTACAAAAACTGGACACAGATCTTCTCCCGAACGAGTCTTCCTGGAGATTCATTGCCTCCAATCATTCGTCGGTCAAATAAAAGCAAATGTTACATAGTGGCCCCGCGAATTTCGCAACGGAATTCCATTTTTCAATCGACGCAAAGCGAAATTCTACTAACAACACATACTAATCGCGTGCCTCCCGATAAGTAGTATCACCGTTGCACACCACTCATTAAAGCTCGTTCGCATGCCATCGATTTTCATTTACCTCCGTCAGGTGGGCTTCGGCAGCGGGTCTACTCGGCCGCTCTTCGGGTGTGTCATGCCACTTGCGAAGCTGCGTCCCATTCACTACTTTCGATCCCCGACCATCTTGAATGGTACAGACGGTCCCCTGGCCGTCGGTGACGACAAACGGCCCTTGCCAGCGGCTGCCTAGCTTTCGCGACCCCAGTCCACTCCTTCCCGGATTCTGGTGATCATTCTGCTTGACATTCTTTCCTATGGGGAACGTTCGGACCTTTCTACTTGCCGTTTTCTGCCTAGTCCTTTCCTGAACGGCGGTCAAATTTTCTCGTGCTCTCTTTCTTTCTTCCTCTAGCTCCTCCGGAGACAAGCGTGTTGCCGGCCATAACCCAATTTCCTGATCAACCGGAAGGCGCGGATGTCGACCGTACATTAACATAAACGGGGACTTGTCTTTGGTTGACTGCGTGGAAGCACGATGAGCTAACAACACCATTGGCAAGTTCATT